AATTTTATTGATATTTATCGTGAAATTTGTGTGCAATTGCTGAGACAGTGTAAACGTAAAATAACACAGAAGCTACTTCAATGTTCTATGGTACACAATTGCATATCGTCACAGACAATATGTGCCATGCCGCCGCGATGGAATCACGCCCTCGTCAATTTTTGGGCTTGTAGAGTTATATTGGTATCGTCTTAAAGCTTGTTCGTTTGTTTCGCTTTGGTTGAAAAAAATATCCATTTATCTATTTATCTTGAATAGAAGTCGAGATATTTGCAAATGAAGGACAAGGGTTACTGTGTCACTTGCTAAAAAGCATGCCCCAGTGGTCACCCAAAAAGACGCAGTGTCACTGAAGTGGCAGAGCAACCAGACAACAGCGTTAACTACACAGAAATAAAAACTATTATAAATATTCTTTTTAAAGCACCTCAGACACCAGATGGCTACCATGAGCTGTCCCGCCAAGAACAAGTGATTGTCTTCAGACTAAGGACACAACACACAAGACTGAGACAACGTATGTACAAATGTTTTAAACTAGTACAATCACCAAAATGCCAGTGTGGAGAGGCGGACCAGACTGTTGAACACATCCTTCAGCACTGCAAGACACACAGGGCCCTGAGACAGGAAACGTGGCCAACCCCTCTGACGCTGCAAGAGAAGCTCTACGGGCCGACAGATGAACTGAGCAGGACGGCCCAATTTATGACAGACACCAGAATTCAAGTGTGATGCGATCGAGAAGAAGAAGAAGAAGACTGAAGTGGCTTTGCTTCATTTGTGATCTGTAACCTCCTGACCACTCAGACACCAGTGAACTTGTTATTGAGGACGAAGTGGCTGCTTATGATTCCCCTCCACTTTCAGTGCTGAGAGAGACAACACATTGTCTTATTTCACTTCACTTTCAGTGTTATTATCTAATTCTCTTCACTTTCAGTGTTATTTTCTAATTCTTTTCACTTTCAGTGTTATTATCCGATTCTCTGCACTTTAGTGTTATTGTCCGATTCTATCTAATTCTCATTGTTTTTCTGTTCAGTTTCAGTATTGAGAGAGACAACACATTGTTCTTCACATCCTCCTTTCTGGTTGTAATTTTTTCTTCGTTTTTTTCTCTCCAGGCCCGGGGGCATGAAGTTTGAAAAAGCGAAAGAATGGAGGATTGCGGTGGTAAATGTGCAGTGGCTGTCTGACCTTGTCCTCGGACACATGGACGCTCTTCGACTACCTGTTCACGTGCGCTATCTTCAAGTTGGTCAGGGGAGGGAGTTCTATATGGACCTCACTAGAGTTACACATTTGATGGGTAAGTAAATTGATGTCGATAAAATTATAGTTGTACTAGCTGGGTACCCCGTTCAATGAATGGACTGAAAAGAATCGATCGTTAAGTCATTGTTGGACCAGTGCGCACTGCGTGTGAACGGAAGTCTCACTTGTTTACAATGGCGTTGTAGAAGACAGACTTTCTCAGAATTAGATCTAAACGAAACTAATGAAAAATTGAAAATTAAACCACAGTGACCTCAGGCTCCTTTATATAACTATGCACCCTTTAAATGATTCTGAACCACCGTTAATTTTTTCAAATTAGAAAGATAAGTGGTTTGGAAGTTTTAGACGACCAAAGTGACGAACTTTCACAAATATGATATATATTTATAGATATATGTTTTACACCACCATTGACACAAGGTGACAATTTAGATCATTTAATTTCTTGGGTTCTTATAACGGTTTATGCTTATGCTACCATTGACAGATTGTAGATAATACAAGGAGTAAAATACTCTGCTGCGCTATGAAAAAAGATAAAAATCATCTTTTATTTACTGTTCAACTGGCTTTGGTGGGCTTATGTGTTTGATATATCCTTATTTTCTGTGTATGGTTAGGTCGAATATGTTCATTTCTTTGGGTTTTTTTTTATTTTGTCATGGATTATATATATATAATTCTGTGACATAATCAATCAAGCAACTATTTTTTTACTTCTGTGCAACTCCTCATGTCAGAAACAAATATATGTTTTATTTTGTCATAAATCTGGAAATGGAAATATTGGTCGAAAATCGAAATTAGGGATCAAAATTGTAGGTTTTCAACTATAGCCATTTTTTCAAGTTTATTAACATGTCTTCTATCATTTCATACTACTAAATTGTGCAAAATTCTCCTACTATACATTTGACATACCTTTTTCCTTAGGACCAAAATCTGAGAAAGACCTAATTTTGTCAGCATACATCCCATATCATAAAATGCTAATACTTTATTATACAGCAAATTTTATTTTTGAATGTTTTTTGTTTTTTAACTAGGTGGATGGAAGAGCCCAATAAAAATCACGAAGGAAACTTGGAAGGTTTGTACATGTTTTTTTTCTCTTACTATTTAGCCAAGCCAGTGAAATATTGGCAGCATTTTTATACGGCTAGGCACTGTGTGAACGGAGGCATCACTATTGAAGGTGATTTTATTTTGCAAGGTGTCCATGTGCCAGTGTGTCTTTGTTTATAGCTACAGTGACTTATCTCCTCTTTGAGTTTTACATTCGTTCATGGAATGTGGCAATTTTTAAGAGTCTGACACCGACAATATGGTTAAGATTAGTCTTCCTATTTCTGTTTTATCGTCTAAATGTGTTCCCATTTCGGAAGTATGGTTGTGCTAGACATCAAGATAATCATCTCTTCCCGCTTCTGTTTTATTGTGTAAATGTTTCCTGTCTATTTCAGAAGTGCAGTCCAACGGTCATATCTGCCTCGGGACAAGAAAACACATGCACCAATGGTCCCTCTCCTCCCAAGAGGCAGAAGTAAGTTATCATCTCTCTCTCTGTCTCTCTTCCTCTCCCTCGCTCACTCCCTCTTCTTTTGTTGGAAATTTGTAGCTTGATGATGAAAGGTGCTGATCAAAAAGAACTCATCAATTATCTTTAAAATACTCTGGAGTCTGCTTAAATCGGCGTCAACTGGCTTTGCTTTCTTTCTTAGTTCTCTATAGGCTTCCTTTTACTTGTTCTGTGTGACTGTAAAGCAGAATAAGCATGCTCACAATGTTGAAGAGGATGCACAATGTGTACAGCCTACGGCTCAAATTGCTTTTACTCAAAGAGGTAGATGGGGGGGGGGGGGGGGGGGAAATGTCCAAAAATGAAAATAACTGCAAGCATGGCACTCCCAACTCTAAGCTCTCCATAATCATAGCGGTTTGACCAACCTCTGGAAACAAAAAGAAATCGGGCTGTCCTGAAGATTTTGGTTTCAGCAGACTCCATTGTACGTCAAGAAAGTTAGAACCTGTTGCATGATAATTTTATGTTGAAGCTAATTTCTCTTAATAAAATAATAATGATAATAATAATAAATGACATTTATATAGTGCTCAACTCTGATTAAAGTACAAGGTTCCGAGCGGTTT